TTCAAGTGCTGAAATCTAAGCAAAAGGAGGATTTGGCAAGAGAAGAAGCTGTTATAGAGCGTCGAAAACTCATTGAAGCTGAGAAGTTACAGCGCCTTGCTGAGATTCAGCGGAGAAAGGAGGAGGCTCAAGTAAGACGGGAAGAGGAAAGAAAAGCGTCAAGTGCAGCTCGGGAAGCAAGGGCAATCGAACAGCTTAGGAGAAAGGAAGAAAGAGCCAAAGCACAACAAGAGGAAGCTGAACTTTTGGCCCAGAAATTGGCAGAGAGACTTAATGAGAGTGAACAACGTCGTAAGATTTACCTGGAGCAAATTCGGGAGAGGGCAAATTTGAGGGATCAATCGTCCCCTTTACTGCGGAGATCATTAAATAAGGAAGGGCAAGGTAGATCTACCCCTACAAACAGCATCGATGATTCTCAAACAAATGTTGTTTCTGGCATTGGTTCTACTAGTCTTGGAATTGGCAATATCACATTGCAGCACTCAATGAAGAGAAGAATTAAGAGAATTCGGCAAAGGCTAATGGCTTTAAAGTATGACTTCCTTGAACCCGCTCTTGGTGGTGAAAGTGCTAGCCTGGGATATAGAGTAGCAGTTGGTGCTGCTAGAGCAAAAGTTGGCCGGTGGCTTCAAGAACTTCAAAGACTTAGGCAAGCAAGAAAAGAAGGGGCCGCAAGTATAGGTTTAATAATTTCTGAAATGATCAAGGTATTGTTTTTTGTTCACCGGTAATTATATCTCTCTCCTTATGAACCGATGTATGTTAACATGTTCAAAGTTAAGAATGTTTCTGTGGGTAAAATTTTGTATGGATAGATGTTCTGTATTTGCACTTCTGTTTTCTGAATCCTGTGCTAATTAAAATAGCACTTCTTGGAGAGCTCTTGTTTAGTCAGTGAATAAATATTAATCTGGAATAACTAGTGATTCTTGATGCTGTATTTGTTTTAGTTATTGCTTAGATTTAGTTTGTCTTATCTGGTTGGTGCTTGCATATGGTCTTCTTACTGTTGAATCAGAAATCATAAATCACTTAACTTGCACGGATAATTGTCCAACCAATCCTTGTTCCTGACTAAATGTTGAACCAAGTTCCTTTCCCTTAAGAATATTTACAGTTTAAGCGAGTGCATTTCCCCTTTTATATTGTGGAGTTTTTGGTTAGTAATTTTTTTCAATTGCTATTTTTTAAATTTATGTTAATTTATTCATTGATTATTATTTTATAGTATTTGGAAGGAAAGGATCCCGAGTTACAAGCATCTCGTCAAGCTGGACTACTTGATTTTATTGCTTCTGCCCTGCCTGCATCTCACACATCAAAACCTGAAGCATGCCAGGTTATGTTGCACTTGTTAAAACTTCTGAGAGTTGTGCTGTCTACACCTGCAAATAGAAGTTATTTCCTTGCACAGAATCTTCTGCCTCCAATTATCCCAATGCTTTCTGCAGCTCTTGAGAATTATATAAAGATTGCAGCATCTTTAGGTGTTCCTGGTAACTTCAGTTTGCCATCAAGTAAAGCATCAGTTGAAAACTTTGAATCAATTTCTGAAATATTAAATAACTTTTTGTGGACTGTTACTGCGATTTTTGGTCATATAAGCTCAGAAGAGAGACAACTTCAGATGCGAGATGGCTTATTGGAGTTACTGATTTCTTACCAAGTTATTCACAGGTTAAGAGATCTTTTTGCACTTCATGATAGGCCACAGACGGAAGGGTCAGCATTTCCTGGCCCTATTCTCTTAAGCATACAACTTTTGGTGGTTTTGACCTCCAGATCTGGAAGATTTTGTTATATCGACTGGGAATCTTGCCCTTTGACAATGGAGCAGGAAATTGGTAGTGAAGGGACCAAGCTTGCTGATTCTGCACATTTTGTTGTGAATAATTCCTGGGGAGATTACACTCCCCTATCAATGATCAATGGCAGCTCAGTTGTGCATTTACCTGATGTCCCTGAGGACAGACCATTAGATGAAATGATTAAGGTGAACAAGAATAATGAATCTATTTCTATTGGGAAGGATTCTGAATTGGAGCATGATAGTTCTGTTAAATTGAAACATGATGATATAGAAAAGATAGATCTAGATGAATCCAAGAAAAGTCAGAATGGGGATATGACTAATTTGTCTATTCCCCAAAAGGACGAGAAACATACAGTGGTAAATGCTACAATACAGAAAAACGAAAAAGTAACAAATTTGGGTCAGCCAGTAGTATTTCTTCTTTCAGCTATTTCTGAAACAGGACTTGTCAGTCTCCCTTCTCTTTTGACTGCTGTTCTTCTGCAGGCAAACAATAGATCATCCTCAGAACAGGTAGGTTTTCTACAACCTGCAAGTTCGTTCACAGAAGTTGTATTGAATTGTTTTGAAGATCTTTATTGTGAAAAATCAGTAGATTTCTGATATTGGCCTGTTAAACAAATGTTTTCTTCGAGGATAATTTCTCAGGTCTGAGTTCACGATGCAGTCAATAATTGTCATTTATCAGTAAACCGATGTTTTCTTTGTTTTTCTGAAGAATTTGCCGTTAGCTAATGTCACATGCCTAATTATGTCCTTTTATTGAAAGGATTGCTTGTAATTGTCTGTTTTGTACATACAAGTATTCTTATTTATAATGAAAAAGATTTACAGTAATAAAGAACAAAATCAATGATTAAAATTATGAAATATTTCCTTATTTGACGTAGTCAAATCATAATATATTTTCCTATTTAATGTAATTAATCATATGTTTAACAACTTCAATTGCTCGTCTGTCCTTGTAACAAGTAAATAAGTAGCTATTATTATTTTTGTTGTGCTATGTCTAAGTTGAATAACTTCATTTTCTTCTAGGCCTCATATATCCTTCCATCTAATTTTGAAGAGGTGGCAACTGGAGTACTGAAGGTGCTGAACAACGTGGCTCTTTTGGATCTTGTGTTTTTGCAGCGAATGCTGGTAAGTTTGCTTATTTTCCTTGTAATAATGATCTATTAAAACAGCTGCATGTTAAATTAAGATCGCTAATATGTTTGATTTTCTCTTTTTCCTGGTACTGATTCTTGCTTATGTATTCATATTTTCCTTATGCTGTTATACTTCCAGGCTAGGCCTGATTTGAAAATGGAAATTTTCCATTTGATGAGCTTCCTTCTTTCTCATTCTGCCATCAAGTGGAAATCTCCCACTGATCAGGTGAATCACCAACAACTTGAAATGCTTTCATAATCTTAATTGATACAATACTTATGTTGACCTTGCTAAGCCTAGCTTTCCTAACTAATATTCATAATGGAAAAGACCCCTTGCCTCCACTCTTCATGCATGGTTGGTATTTGGATGTACCTTTGCTAGAATGCCATAGTTACTAAAATGCCATTGCATTTTTTTTTTCAGGTTGGTTCTCTTGTGCTTGAATCTTTATCTCTCCTTGGTCACTTTGCCTTGTTTCATCCGGGAAATCAGGCTGTTCTTCGATGGGGACAGAGTCCCACCATCCTCCACAAGGTCTGAAACTCTAAATATTATTTAATTTTGGTTTATTTGTTCTATTTATCGAGTTAATCTAATGTTCACCCATAAGAGGACAGGTTTGCGATCTGCCATTCGTTTTCTTCAGTGACCCAGAGTTGATGCCGGTCTTGGCTGGCACATTAGTTGCTGCTTGCTACGGGTGTGAGCAGAACAAGTTTGTAGTTCAGCAAGAACTGAGTGTTGACATGCTACTTTCCTTGCTGAGGTCTTGTAGGAATGCTGCACCTGCAACTCAGCTTAATTCCGCCTTAGACAATTCCACTACAGATGAATCTAGTGAATACAATCAAGTAGGTGCCGAAATTAAAAAACCGCATGTGGAAATTCCTGTAAAATGTGCCCGTTCCAATGGCAAAGCCACTCGGACTTCCTTTGGAAAGAATGGTGCATCGGGAAATAACGTAAAAAATGGCAGAATAAGAAGCCAACGGGACGCCAAAACAACTAAGCATTCTGAAGAACTGGCTCCTAAGCACGGCGAGCCTTCGTATTTAATGTTGCACTGTAGATTTCCCTCCAGTTTCATCGATAAAGTAGAGCAGTTCTTTTCAGCTGAAATTGCTAACGGGGTTGATGAACTCTGAGGTTAAATATCGTGAACCCATTTTTGTTGGTAATGCACGGATCTTCACGCGTTAACTGAATATGGTCCCTTATACATGTTTCACACTGCTAATAAAGCCACACCAAAATTCTTAAAGCTGACGTCTCTGAAGATTAACCTGCCCGAGTTATAACCAAAGGTCGTTTCTTAGTCAATGCCAAAAATATTGTACTTTCTTGGAAGTAATATATTTTGTAGTAGGAGTTGATGAGCATTTTTGTAATATATAAACTATAGAAAAGTGGCGGTTGATAACAGCCACCACTAATTACCACTGCTGTAATTAATTATAGCTGATATGGTTCGGGGTAACAACCTCGGCCATATATTTGTCTTGTTTACTTCAAAGTTCAAACCTACCTCTAAGTTATGGATCTTTTATACAGTGAATTTTGTATGCAATTATGAAAATACTTTCGATAGTTTTTACTAATTTGACGGCACAGATGAAAAATAAAGAGTAAAGAAAAGATGTGCTTGCGAGCTAGCTTTTTTGTATATATGCAACTCTATTCACAAGATAATCTACGTTTCTGCCTGCCCGTAAACGTGCCATTATACCCTTCCACTACGAGGAAAAAAAGGAATAGCTTCAGTTTAGGGGCGAAGTTTCTGTTCTGATATCTTTTAATCCTTAATGTACCAAAAGTTGATTTTGTGACAAATACGTCTTTTTAGTGAGAAAGAAACCATGTAAATAAAACTGTTAACAAGTTGATGATAAAGGTTTATGTGCATGTGGGTGTAGTTCAAGGAAACGGAAAAGAGAAAGAGACGATACTTTGCATCATCTAGAGGCTGCTTGTAAAGCCTATTTTGCTTTGCTTGTCTGCATGCAGCTTTGGTCTCTGGCTGGAGGCTGCCTTACGTATAAGGCCTGCTCTCAGTTCATCTATATACAGTCAAGCAGGTTGGAAATTAGAAGTTCAGTACTGAAAAGTCTGCATAGATTTCAATTTCAAGGAATGGAAAATAGACTCCTCCAAAGAAGGTATTGGTTTCGTAAGTGCAAGTTGTTATGCCATTTGTTGTTTATCTTGATTTGAATTTCTTTATGCCGTAATTTCGTTCTGAACTGTTTCATATATTTCCTTGGTTGTGAGCTGTTTATGTTTCACATACAAAAACATCATTTTTGTTTCCTGCCAATTATATCGCTGAATACGAACCAAAAATTCTTGTCTCTATTTCAGAGTGTCATTTTCTGATCCCCATTCTCCAAAACACCATGGGTCAAGTGACAAGACTTGGAACTGGCTCCCAAGGATAACTTCTCACGATGACCACATAAGAGACGACGAGTACGTAACTTCAGTTGCAGCTACGGCATTTGCGATTCATTCTCTTGAAGAAGTAGAGTTACATGGCTCGTAAAAAATGAGAGAGCACCCCAAATCTTCGAGGCCTCAAACGATGAGAAGAGAAGAGGATGGCATATCAAAGCGGTTAAGTAATGGTAATTATAACATTCTACCTAATATTGTAAAGTTTCACTACTAGCTGCTATGAGTAATTGCTATATTTTGTGTTGCAGGGGAAACTTCCATGAAAAGGTCACTCGGACAAGACCCTAGGACCAAAGAAACTGCTTTTCCTGTTAGACGTCCAAATAGTACATCATCTCCAATACCTGTATCTCCTGCACTACGGTATCAGAGGCAGCAAGGGGTTCCATTACCACACAAAAATACCAAAACCAGACCAGAAACATGTGAAAGGGCTCTGAAGAAAATGATTCAAAAGCAGTAATGCTAATTTCTTGAGCAGCTCATTCAATATATATATATTTTTCTTTCCTGAAAAACTGTTGCCTATGATGCAAAGTGGTTGTCAAATAGGAATCTGGATTTAGTTTCCTCTTATATTGTAGGCATAATTTTTCAGGTATGAGATAATGAAGTCCAAACTTCTTTCCTGGGAGTTTGTGAAAACGATTCAGGCCAGAGTCCAGGTGGGAAGTGAAGAAGGTTTTCCTCAATTCTTAGAGATGTATTTTAAATATGTTAATTTAATAATCTCATTGGTGATGGAACAACAGGGAGCAAGGAAAGTGCAAAATTACCAGAGTAAGGTGACAAGGGAAGATATTATAGCGCAAGGAGCTAGAGCAGGGTTAGAACGCAGAAGAAGAGAACAACTTGAGACGAGAAAGAACTCGATCAAAAATCGAAAAACAAGCAAGGTCCCTGTGAAAGCATATTGTTGTCTGGCATGGAAATAAAAGCAGCTATCAGTGACTAAATGTAATTCGTACTTAAACTATTTTTATTGATCAATAAAAATGCTTGCAAAATAAACGTACGTGCACTAACTCATCAATTAGAAGTTAGTGTGCTTTTTTATTTATTTTGCCACCACTCCATTGTATTACCCTTCCAATCATATAATCCAATCTTAAGTTTCTTTCTTCTTATATTTGGATTCCTTTTACGTTGCATTTGAAAATTATTTCAAAATAAACACAGTTTTACATAAAATCCTTAACCGTAAATCTCTTTTTCTTTGAGTCTTTTGATATTGGAAGTGTAATAAATCACGGATTAAAAGATATCGTGCAATGTTCTCCTTTTCATATCATCTTATTCTCTTCAACTTCAGCAGAAACTTTTCTGAGGAACGTAATCCAAGCGAGAGAAAAAAGAGGTTCCAAAATCATGTACAAGGAAGAATCATATATAACTTGGCCATGAAGGTGGAAAGTTGTTCCATTCAACACAAACATAATGTATTAGCATAAGAGTTATCACATATCCTGACAATTCAGAGCAGAAAAGCTATATCATTAACGAACAAACAGCCCACTCAACACACCCAGAGAAATAGTATTATTCCTCAAATCTTAATGACACCAAAGGACACTTTTTTTTTATCAGCAATACCAAAGGAAACATTAAAACACCATTAACATCATTAGCCAGATAAACCCAATCACCAAATTAAGAGTTATATGTATGTCGAAGTTGAATTCACAAGAATCCTTAGGTAACTCAACTTGTGCTTACTTCCGCTGCAGTGGCATCTTTAAGAGAATCAAGGGAAATCACTGTTTCAAACGCACCAACTAGAGCCTTAACTTTGCTCTTCCTTTGCTCAGTAAGAATACTAGCGGTCTCTTCAATCACATTATTATACAAACGTGGATTTTGTTTCTTCCCTCCCACATCTTGATGCTTCAAAACCACGTTCTCAGATCCTGATTTTGAATCCCCTATCTTGCTCTTATCTACACCAACCTTCCTCCCAACAATAATTCTCCTTTTACTTACCTCCACGTTTCTGACTTTTCCTCTATGTTTCTCTGATTTTGTATTTGCAGCATTTACCTCATTACCACCTACTTTATTATCCTCAATGGTACTTTTTCTTGCACCATTTATATCTCTTCCAATGTCATCATCAAGAATGCGTGCTGGCCTGAATTTGAGTCTCCTTGGAACGTTGTTCATCTGAGGCTCAAGTTCGATCACTCGTCCTCTCCTAAAATTCAATTTCCGGGATGCAACGACACTTTTATTGGTGAACCCAACTTTTGTGCTCATTTTTGGCCTGATTTTGTAACCCATCTTCACATCTTCACCTTGATGATGATCATGTCGTCTTTTGTAGAACCTTGATGCAGCATTATTTTTTTTCTCAGGGAAAGATTTGGAAGTGAAAATAGATGATGATGACGACGCAGATGGTGATGATGATGGTGAAAGACTGCGAGTTTTGAGCTGCATAAATACGTTCCCTTTGTTCCCGGCCACAGATCTAAGGCCCTTCCATGAAGATGCAGGAGACTCGAAATTTTTCTTATTGGTGTGCTTGCTTCTGTCCCCTGATGATGAAAGTGAGGGTGAAGACAACTTAGCATCACAAGCCACAGTAGGGTCCTCAGATGAATTTGCAGAGGCAGGTTCGGTGACATGAAGGATCTTTTCTGGTAAGTTCATAGAAGACTCTCTTGTCATGTTCTTGGGACTATTGGAACTTCTGCTTCGAGGTTTCTTGCCACTGCGTTTTGAAGACAATGGAAGACTTGTTGAGGTTGATTTTTTCTTGCCTCCAGTTGAAGGTTTCCCGGTCTGTTTGCTTCTGCTGTTTGAATTGTTTTTTACCATTTCCCTTTTTGTTTCACTTTTGGAACATTCCTGTTCTTGCTTTAGGTGACTGTTGTTATCCTCCGAGGGAACATCTGTTTCTTCAAAAGGTGGTGAGTTTTTCTCTGATGTAACTGTTTCTTCATATGTTACTACTTCCTTGATGTCAACTGGACTATTGGCCTTCTCAACTTTTGGTGTTTGAGAAGGCCTTGATTTTTTTCTCCATGCCAAAGAAGTCACATTCTCTTCTGGAACTTTGGTTTTCCATTCCTTGGTGGTAGCCTTTCTCAGTGTTAGTATCCATGGTTTGGCTTCAACGGCCTGTGGGATGCCATATTTGCAAAGATCATGGCAGGAACGTTTTGGACCACTAAGATAACGCGAAATAATCTTCGGTGGAACTTTTTTGTTGGTTAAAATCTCATCAGGATTTGCTTTCTCATCAACATCTTCAGGCTCGATTTTCTCAGACTTTAACTGGTTAAGACTACTTTCCTCTTCCATCACTTTGATTCAGAATGGAGCAATAATTTCAGAGACCCCTGCAATAAACAACAATCCATTTAGATATGTAGAGGAAAGGGAAGTATATATGCTGGTCAAAGTTAAAGCAACACGAAATGTGTACAACTTCTTTTCACCAATCTAGATCATTGGAATGGTGCAAAAACTCATTCATATATTACTTGTTCAGTGATCTGAAAACATTTCGAAGGCGAGAATTAAAAACTTGAATGTGCAAATAGCATGCCTAGCCTCCAACGATAACTAGATCCACAGAATAAAGCCTTGAATGAAGTGTTACTGACCATGCAGAATGAGAATTTATCTTGACAAAGCGAATTACTAATGACTTCCTATCAAGTAGATTTTATATAAAAACGTAGGGGCAAAGAAATTCTAGCATGTTACTAAGATAATTACATTGGTTGGTTCATTTTCGTGAATAGACTGAGTTAATGAAACAAAACAATGCAGTGGCACACCTTGAAGAATTTTGCCAACACTACCAGGAGATAGACAAATAACCTTAATACACAGTTTTACAATAATTAATACTTTTGTGCAAAGCTAACTCCATAAAAGTTTGAAATGAATTTCACTTTTGATACACAACCAATGTTAGGTTAAAGATAGTTTAAGGAAAGTCCAAACCAGGAAATTACAGATTGTCACAAGATAAAACTATCATGCTTGTAGATAGGTCTAAAAACAAGATAAAACAAATGATATATTACTGAATTATCCAATCTATAATATTATTCATCTATTAAATTAGAGTTCTGAATGGATAAATTCATAGTATTATGTTCTCTTGAAGCATATTTTTCTTTATCTCCATCTATAATATTCCAATCTATAATCTTAGAGTTTTATTTGTATACGGGAACTTTTGGAAAGATGGCAGCGCGAAAGGCTTTATTGCTAAGTAAAGGTTGTGCATTTTGAATTTAATTAATTTGATTTCAATAAAAAAAGGATTTTTAATAATTAATTTAATTTAATTTAAAAAAACAGGTGGATTAGTGAGCAACCCAACCCACCACGGGTTCAACCCGTGTGAGCCGGGTTCTTAGTGAGTCGGTCAAAATTGGCTCGCATAAAAAATTTTGTATTTTTTTTCAATCCAACCCGGTTCAAACCCGTGGTGAGCCAGGTTGGCTCACGAGTTTTAACCCATTGACGACACTAAATATAGATAATGATATACAGATGTAATTACAAAATCACTTGTATAGAGTTAAAAGCTTAAATAATAAACCAACAAACTATATTGATAGTTATGAAAAGATGAACTATAAAGTTATTGATTTACGTGAGAGTAATATATATATTTATATATAGATATATATTATATATATATATATATACTAGATGATAGATGGAGTAATATGATATATATAGATAATGTTTTGAATATATAGAGATAAAATGGTGAATGGTGATGGATGTTCACGTAGGTTCTTCCATAGATGGTCCCATGTGGCCATGCAATAATATTGCATGGTTAGGGTAGTTTGGTTGACAGAGTATTGTCTCTCATGGTGGGACTCTCTTTTGGTTAAGGTTACTTTTTCTCAACAACGCATTGTTTTGGTTAGCAGGAAAAGCAACCTCTCCAATTACAACATCTTGCACCACCCTTTTCACTTTTAATCCAACCATTCCTAACTCACATTTGCAGATCATTACTTTAACACCTTCTATGTTTTCCTTTTAAGATTAACAATAACACACCAAGGTATGCCTCCACTTCTTTTCTCATCACAAATAATTTCCTATGGTCGTCTTTTCCTTTTTCTTTTTGTTTATTCTCTTTTTAATCGAATTCCATGATGACCAAAACACAAGGGCAACCCATTAAGATGCCTGGTGTGATGATGACCATGATTTCTTGAATGTGTCACAAGATCCAACTTTTCAAGGGATTATTATATTCATTCCTTTCATCAGATCATAATCTTGATGGTGAAGAGATAATCTTGTTCAGTTTCTAATTTAATTTCTGTTTTCCTTCTTTTCTTCTCTATCCACGCGGTTCTGTTTTCGCTTTTGGCAGAAAATCTGAATCAGTTTGTGATGTTTCACCCGCTTTTGTAGAACACCTAGGTTTTTTTTTTTTCCTTTTAAAACCAAATTTTC